TGCTTTGCTGCAAAACACTGAAAATAATTCATCAAATCATTTCCGTAAATTCAGCAACCTTCGAATTTTCCTTCGAATCGAAAAAAAACTTTCGAATACAAATCTTCCAAAATGCTATAAGGAAGTCGCAAGTGCGGCAGTATTCAGTGCCATTTCAACCAGGATCTGTTAAAGAAATCAGTTGATATAACACCCGTAATCCAGTGGAAACTCCAGCCTTTTATCGTTCACCGCAATCGTGCTCTCTGAACTTTTAATTACACTTTCAAACTTCTCTTATAACAACCATAAATACCATGAAATGGAATGCTCTAGGCGAGGTATGCACTGAGTACCACTCAGTGGGCTGTCGCTCTTTGGTGTTTATCCTGAGAAAATTTTCAAAATGGCTCGAAATATATCTGAAGATATCTCAATTTCTTCATACTTGTTTGTGCTTCTGCCATGTTCTTGACTTTTACTCGATAGCATTTAGCACCGTTCGATAACACTGCACATACGCTGGATGGATATCATCTTATGAAAATTGCATTCGCCTTTAAAGATGTTGACGTTGGATCGGAAGCAGATGTTCTCTCGACCAGCTTGCCGTCGCATTATTGCATCAGAATGTATGTCTACGATTCATGGCTTAACATTGTAGTAAGGCTGGTGTGTAATAACCGAATGTAGAGTTTTCACTGAAGTGCGATTGCAACTCTTTATTCGCTTAGAAACGATGACATCCGCAATGGAAAGTCGCAATGAGTCTTAAAATACCTTTTTAGGATGAGCATCAAATGAGTGGAATGAGTTTGTTTTAAAAAAAAAAAAGACCCTTCGGAAGATTTTTCGATGCCTTTTGAGTTGGATGTTATGAAATGTAACTCGTCAATGAACACAATCAACAGTCATGAAATATTTTTATTTGCTGATTGATGAGACGGGAGTGTTCAGATTTGTACAACACGTATACAAACAATAGACAGTGAATGGCTCAATCGAACAATTTATAAAATCAGTATCGTGGTTGCGCTGAGGGTCCGTAGGTTGAATACGCTCCAGGATATCCACCAGGATACATGCCTCCGCCAGGATACGTAGCACCGCCAGGATATGTTCCAAACTAGATAGGACATTTATCTTGTACTCACAATGACCCTCATAATTTCACGCTCACATACTGCTTACAAGAATGCATCAAGCTAAACTTATGATAGACTATTTCATTGCTCTATGGAAACCTTCAGCTAAACAACGTTTACTTCAGTTTTTCAAGGGTTGATATAAGTTAGAAGATTGCACCTGTGATCCATAAGAGGTGTTGTATTCGTATTCTTTTTGCATTTCTTTGCGTTGTTCTGTTTTTGAACGCCAATAACAAACGAACACAACACATGCACCGACGACGAAGACTAACAGTACGAATCCCAACAGCACGAAAACACCTGCCATCCTGAAAAATTACTCGTAAACAATTCATTGCTTGCACCCTTTGACTGCTGACTCACTTTTGGAGTATGTTCGAAGCAGTGGAGACTGTCTCGTGAGTGGTTACGTGAGAGTTATGACCATTCATTTGAGTTTTGCTAATAAACACGTCTATCTATTGACATTTGGTTCATTTCAGTGAACTGGGATTCTAACATTAAAATGAGTGAAGGCATGCTAGCACAGCTTGCAGTCTTCATCTAGCAGTAATCACTCTGTTCATAAAGTGATCAGAGTGTACCGCTTTAATCAGAGCAATGTAAGCAACAACCAACCAGAATTGGTCCTTTGGACAGCAGCCATGCTCACAGCAACCTTGCGTTTTCTCACATCTGTAAATAAAGTGGTAGCCGAGAAGTTAGTGGACATCTGAGGAGTTGAAGCAACTGAAGACTGGAGTAGAGACAACGAATTTTGACGGAGCAACTTAGTTACTGGTTATATTAAGTAGAAACTAAACAAGCTCGTTAAACATCTTTCAGTGCACTCAAAAATATAAACTGCAGCCATTGATACAAATGCTTTGCAGTGATCAGTTAGCAAGAAATATGGTCAAAATAAGGTGAATTTGAGTTCGGATGATTGGATACGAATTGGATGCTCTTGGTATTGGCCCTAGACCCTAAGGGATTTGGAGAATAATATTGTCGTGTCAAAACAGACTTACAGAAGAGTGACTGTAGCATTGACAGTGTTCTTTGCCGTGTACACACATCGAATGAAACCTGAGCCGGCACCTGAA